CCCCACCACATCTTATTGAAATGATTGAGTTCGCTAAAGTTAATTCCGGAAATAAATACATTCTAGTTGTTATCGATTGTTTTTCAAAATACCTATGGACTCGACCGCTAAAAACCAAATCAGCCACGGATGTTACTCACGCGTTACGCACAATCTTATCTGAAAACGGACATCGCACGCCTCGCAACCTACAAACGGACAACGGTAAAGAATTCTACAATAATCAATTTAAAAAATTGATGGAAGAATTTAACATTAACCATTATTCTACGTTCAGCGTTATGAAAGCTTCGATGGCTGAACGTGTTATTAGAACTATAAAACAAAAATTGTATAAATTGTTTAGTCTTTACGGAAATCATATATGGCTGCAAACTTTAAAAGATGTAACATTAAAATACAACAACACAAAACATAGTACCACAAGGTTAGCACCAGCCCAAATTAATTCGAAATCCGTTGAAAACGAACTACTTAAAACGGTGTACAACCACATTAAGATTGCCGGTAAAGGAAAATTTAAAATTGGCGACGTCGTTCGAATTAGTAAATATAAACATGTTTTCGATAAAGGCTACTTACCCAACTGGACTACTGAATTATTTAAAATTGTTAAAGTGCAAATTACAAATCCTGTAACCTATATATTGGAAGATATCAACGGGCAGCCGATTAAAGGCGCGTTTTATGAATTTGAACTTCAAAAATCTAGACAATCGGATGCATATCTTGTTGAGAAAGTGTTAAAACGTAAAAAGAATATGCTATATGTAAAATGGCTAGGTTTTGATTCAACACATAATAGTTGGATATCTAAAGATAATATTGTTTAATTTTTAAGTTTTATAAATTATAATTTTTTAAAAAATCTACAAGGACAATTTTATTTTATAAACAAATTGATATTAACAACCATAGAAACCGAGTTTTCCGGAGATAATTAAAATGATTCATATTCAAACCAAATCTTCCTGTTTTCGTTAATTTTTTTAGATATCATCTCTCGGTATAAATAGCGTGTCTTATGTTTTTACAGTTAGTTTAAAGAAGGTTTTTAGTGCAATATGAACAATAACAATAACAACGCAAATGAATATGCGGCAATCCCCTGGGATCTAATCCGGGGGATTTGTGAATTACATCATCCAAATGTAAGTTATACCTATACTAGAATTAATTTTTCAATATGTAATATTAATTTTTTAGCCCATTATGATTGTAACCACTAATGGCGGTTTGGAGGACTCGCTCGTGCAGGGGGGGCGCATAGTTTATAGCTATGTGAGCCCCACAAATTTTTTAATAATTTCTGCGAGCGAGGTCGTGCCATCTCATTTTTTTATACTCTGTAAGTATTTTTTCTTTTTACTTTAATTTTGTATTAATTTTTTATACTTTTATTTATAGTCGGAGGAGTAATTTTACCACCGGTGGTTATCCCATTAGATATGGTCGATTTAACCGGTGAAGGTAATGATGACAGTTGGTTTTTTACTTTTTAATTAATTTTATTTTTACAGAGGAATTGATCGACCTAACAACGGGTACCGGTGGTGGTGTAGGCGCTGTTAATTCTGTGGTAATAGAAATAGACATTACCACAGATAACGATTCAGCGGTAATTGATATATTTTTATTTTATATTCAGTTGGCTTTTATACTTTTATTTCATTTTATTTATAGCCGGAAGAGTAATTTTTGCTGCCGCTTATCCCATTAGATATGGTTGACGTAACCACTAAAGGTGATGATGACTTAGTTTTTTACTTTTTAATTAATTTTATTTTTTTATAGAGGAAGTAATCAAACGCTGTTAATTCTGCGGTGCAGTATAGCTATGGGCGTTCTGGACCAAAATCCCATAAGATTTAACATCGGGGGTCTGAAATCACATTTTATCCCCACCATTATCTGTTGAAGGTAATGATGATGTAGTTAGTTCTTTACTTTTTAATTAATTTTATATTTTTTACAGGTGGAGTTATGGTATCGCCACATCGTTATCGCTGACTCCATGAGTGCATCACATTTAGTATTTTATAAAATCTTTAATTTGTTATGTGTGATTACAGTATTGTATTGTATAAAATCGTTAATAAAATATATTAATTAATTTCTTATATATTAATTTAATTTAACATATTTTATTTACATTTCATTAAATATCCTATGTACATGTGATGAGCATTCCGTTTTTAATAGCAACCTGAAGTTGGGGCGTCTTAAACAAAAGTTACACCAATTTCCAAACTCTAGAATAGTATCGCCACACTCTTCTGTTGAAACTATTTCATGATCGATTTTACATTCTTCTTATGCTACTACGAACAGCCGTTCCGCAAAAAAATCTTTGAAACCTCTAACATATATGTTATAGCGCCTTATACAATCATGACACACCCCACCATGCGTTGTTTTATAATAGCACCACCACATACATATCTGCTGATTATCTTCAAAGATTGCATCACTTTGAAATTTTTATAAAAATTAGCATCCGTTGTTTATTCATTAATTTGCTCCTACCTACCTATAACTACTGAAATGGAATGATAGCGCTTTTATACACCGATGATTCATTTCATAATTAAACGTTTCCCGTTCGATACATAGCATTTCATAATTTATATTGTGATCATATGCACCCACTATCTCATCCCAATTATCTTCAACCCAGGTGTTCCATAGTGCTAATACTAACCCCCAGGGTAAATACAAATGTAGTCTTAAAATTCCCACTCTGTTATTTACACTTAAATTTATACGTTTTAATGCTTACTCATTTTTACTAATATTAAAAAATTACTATCATACATCCTTACTTATATATGTCCGTTCCACACCACATCCGTTATCCCTTGCAAATGAAATGTTTAAATACATAAAATTCTGAAATTAATTAATCAGTTACATATTTAACTTCTAAAAGAAAACATGTATAAAATGATGTCTCAGGAAGAATTTAGATGCGCATTGAAGGTGTTTTTAAACGATATTATTCTACATGCTGAAAACTCTGAAATCGAGTTGAAACTATTAAATTTAGAAGACCTGGACACTGAATTATTTGAAAATGTTGAGTTCATTATGTATTGTGATTATTTATCGATAAACTGGAAAATCTATCGGAATGGAAATACGTTCTATGCTGGAAATAGTGATGTATTTGAATTTCATAATAAATTTAAAAGTTTTTTAAAAGAAAAAGGACACTTTATTGAAAATGAAAACGCTAAATTAATCATTATGGATAATGCTTTATCTTTCAATAATAATATCGAACATGTGGAATTTTGCTACTTTGATTATGCTGTTTGGAGTTTATATCATAAAAATAATGTGATTTTTGCTGTATTTATAAGATATTAAATAGATTTATTATACATGTTATATTTAAATTTCCCATTTTTGATTTCGCATACATCCTGTTTTTGTAAAAGACATAGTTATCTCCATGGTTTACCATGACTTCCCGGAAATCCCCCCTATTTCTTCTTTCATGTAAACATCCTGTTTTTCATAAAAGATATAATTATCTTTATGGT